ACTTATCCAGATGGTGTATATATTTGCTGTTATTATTTGAATATGCGACTCCTCTCTCCATGTCCAAATGAAATATCAGTTGTGCTGTGAACTGTTTCATATCTGGCGTTGTTGTCTGTTTCCAAAATCTAGCAATTAGTACTTTCACTGCTATCAAAGAATGGATGGTCAATAATAATTGGTCTCTTGGGAGTCTATCCCAATTAATATGGAGTAAACCTGCTTCTGGTGATTTTTTAACTTTGATATTTAAAAGAGATAAAAAAAGATATATTGAATCCCAAAAGGTACTTATTTTGGGGCAACCCCACCAGATATGTAACATATTTCCCTCCTTAGATAAACATCTCCAGCATAAAGGGGAGTTAAGTGCCGATATCTTGGCCATTCTAGTTGGTACCAAATACCACCTATGCTGAACTTTAAAAACAGTTTCATTTAAATTTAAGCAGTGTATATATTTTCTAAGTAATTTCATAAGTGAGCACCATGTTTTATCTGAAATTTTGACATTGAGGTCATTCTCCCATTGCTTTTTAGCTGTAGGCCGGGTATTTGAATACTCTTGTCTGATTAGGTCCATAGCAATAGAACATATTGATTTAGTTTCTTTTTTGTCAAAAATGTTATAAAGTTGTTTTTAACCCCTTCCTTTTTTAATAAGGATTTATTTAAAAATCATCTTATTCTTAAATAAGAGAAACTTTCTATATCTGAAATATCAATTTTTGATTTAAGATTATTGAAAGACAACATTCTTGCATTTTGGAGGAGGTCTCCAATATAGATCTCTTTATGAATTCTCCATTTAACAAGGTTTAGATCGGGCATCACTCTCTCCAAAACCTATGCAAGAACTATGCTATGCAAGAACACTAAATTAATATTATAGCGCCAACAGATTCCGTAGCATTTTACAATATTATGAGAGGGGGGATTTAACTATAAATAGGACAATTACAAGAAAACTTACAGGAATGATGAGTTGAAGAGGACCCTGCTCAAATGAGCTTACAGTCTATAGGAGGTGGGGTATAAGACATGTTAGGACAGGAAATATCAATCAAATATGGTGGGGGTGAAGCAGAGCTGGAGGAGAGGGTAGAGAGAGCAAGAGACAAGTATGTAAGGTAGAGGTTACTCTGGGAGGCCATAAGCTTTCCTGAAGAGATGGGTTTTAAGGCTCTTCTAAAATGATTAAAGACTAGGGGAGAGTCTGATGGCGGTAGGCAGGCTATTCCATAGGAAAGGAGCCACCCGCGAGAGGTCCTGCAAGCGCGAGTTGGCCGTACGGGAACGAGGAGGGGCATACCTATGGATCATTGAGGAGATATAAGAGGGGCTAGAATTGTTCAGTGCTTTAAATGTATGGGCTAGCACTTTGAATTGACTCCTATAGGATACAGGGAGCCAATGTAAGGACTGGCACAGGGGTGATGTGTGAGAGGACCGACTAGAAAGGAAAAACAGTCTAGCTGCAGCATTCATTACAGACTGTAGCGGGGCAATACGGCTTTTGGGGAGACCAATCAGGAGAGGGTTACAGTAATCCATGCGGGAAATTACTAGAGCATGGACAAGCTATTTGGTCGCATCTTCAGTAAGAAAGGGGCAGATGCGGGCTATGTTTTTGAGTTGGAACCTACAGGATTTGGCAACAAACTGGATGTGAGGCTCAAAGGTGAGGCCAGAGTCAAGTATGACGCCAAGACAGCGTGCTTGCAAGGATGGACTTATGTGGATATCACTGACTTGAAGGGAGAGCGAGAGAGGAGGATCAGTATAAGGAGGAGGAAAGACAAGGAGTTCAGTTTTAGAGAGACTGAGTTTCAGAAAGCGTGAGGACATCCAGTCAGAGATGGAAGAAAGGCAAGCAGTGACACGTTGCAGGACGGCAGGGGAGAGGTCCGGGGAGCAGAGGTATATCTGAGTGTCATCAGTGTACAGGTGGTAGTTGAATCCAAAAGAGGAAATAAGCTTGCCAAGAGAGGCAGTATAAAGAGAAAATAGAAGGGGACCAAGGACAGAGCCTTGGGGAACTCCAACCGAGACAGGACAAGGGGAGGAGGTATGCTTGGAAAAGGAGACACTGAATGAGCGTTGGGAGAGATAGGAGGAAAACCAAGAGAGGACAGAGTCACAGAGACTGAGCGATTGAAGAGTTTGAAGGAGGAGAGCATGATCAACGGTGTCAAAGGCAGCAGAGAGGTCAAGAAGAATTAATATGGAGTTGTGACCTTTGGATTTAGCTGCGATTAGGTAATTAGTGACTTTGATGAGAGCAGTCTCAGTAGAGTGGAGAGGGCGGAAGCCAGACTGAAGAGCGTCAAAGAGAGAGTTGGAATTGAGGAAGCGAGACACACGGGTAAAGACAAGTCTTTCTAAAAGCTTTGATGAGAAAGGGAGCAGGGATATCGGACGATAGTTAGAGGGGAAGGATGGGTCAAGAGATGTTTTTTTCAGGATAGGTACTACAGTGGCATGTTTAAGGTCAGCAGGAACAGTGCCAGAAGAGAGAGAACAGTTAAAGATGTGTGTTAGGGTAGGCACAAGACAAGGGGAGAGAGATCTGATGAGGTGGGATGGGACAGGATCGAGCAGGCAAGTGGTGGGGCGAGAGGAATGGAGAAGCGCAGCCACCTCTTGTTCAGTAGCCAGGGAGAAAGTCTGAAGGGTAGGGAAGGCATGATTTATATGTGGTTGAGAAAGAGAATGGCAAGAAGGGGAGAATTGTTTCCTTAGCTGTTCAATCTTGTCGGTAAAGTAGCATGCAAAGCTATCAGCTGTAAAGTTAGTTTGAGGGGTAGCCGCAGCAGGGTGCAGAAGTGAGTTAAAGGTGTCAAAGAGACGTCTGGGGTTGCGGGAGCATGAACTAATGAGAGAGGAAAAGTATGACTGTTTGGCGAGGGCAAGGGCTGCGCTGTATGAACGCAACATGAATCTATAATGGAGAAAGTCTGCCTGGGTGCGGGACTTCCTCACATATATATTATTAAGTGGTCTTGCATAGCTTATGTATTCTTATTATAGCCAAATTTACCACCCTAACTCCTCCCACAGTTTTTACACTACATAGACAGTAATATACCGAAACGTGCGGATTGTTCACAATTAGATTACTATTACTTTGTGGAACGTTTCGCTGAATGGTTCACGGAAAATATCATCGTTCTTATGGAGAAATTTGTCCCATAGGAATGAATGGCAAAATGTTCAAAACTAGAGTGGGAGCTGGCAAAAGCTGAAAAATCAGGACATGATTTCTAAACTGCCACCACTCCCTCATTTTCAAGCCCACCTACACAAATCTTTTATCAAAACGTTCAGCTATCCCTGCTGCCACTAAAAATAACACGGCTAAGCCATAGTCCTGATAGTTTTCACAATATGACCATTTGTTTGCAACTCACGCCGTCCATTGACATTCATTGAAACTCCACTCTAGACAGCTCAAATTTAAAGGGCAATTTCTAAACTGCGACTGTGCCTTCATTTTTAATATTTCAGAGACATACTATGCATCAAAATGTAGGTCTAGTAACTTTTCTAGTTAAGTGTTCTTGCATTGCAAGACCACTTAATGTTATCTCACATATATATTATTCTTATTATAGCCAAATTTACCACCCTAACTCCTCCCACATTTTTTACACTACATAGACAGTAATATACCGAAACGTGCGGATTGTTCCCGATTGGATTGCTATTACTTTGTGGAACGTTTCGCTGAATGGTTCAAGGAATATCGTCGTTCTTGTGGCAAAATTGATCCCATAGGAATGAATGGAAAAATGTTCAAAACTAGAGTGGGAGCTCGCAAAAGCTGAAAAATCAGGACATGATTTCTAAACTGCCACCACTCCCTCATTTTCAAGCCCACCTACACAAATCTTATATCAAAACGTTCAGCTATCCCTGCTGCCACTAAACATGTCCATGGCTAAGCCAAAGTCCTGATAGTTTTCACAATATCACCATCCATTGACTTTTACTGTAACTCCACTCTAGCCACATCAAATTTGAAGAGCAATTTCTAAACTTTATAGTTTTTAAAATACGACCGTTTGAAAATGGCAACTGCCAAAATACTCTGACCTGTGCCAGGCTGGAGCAGCAAGTGATGTCATAGACAGGGCCTTTTGTACACCTGCTAATGTTTTTATAAATTTATGTTTTAATGTAACTGTAAAGCACATTGGGCAACAACGTTTAAATTAAATGTGCTATATAAATAATAACAGTTACTCCGCCTACTCCAGTTGTAGACTACTGGTGGAGGCAAGAAACCTGGTGGTTAGGTGGAACAGCAGTCTTTATATAGTGAGGAGGGGGCCCAGGAGTCCTTTCAGCATGCGGCAGGTATTCTCCTTCTCTTGCGGACTCCAGCATGTGTCCTGCATTGGAGGGTTGCCATGGTAACCTGTCCTGAGGGGTCCTGGGCCAACTCTATACATGTCAGCAGGTAGGTGTGTGTGTGTGTATATATATATATATTTTTTTATTATTATTATTTCCTGGCCATTCGAGCACCAATCCTAGGTTAGCTCCTCCCATCACTCCTATTGGACAAGACTAAATTTTAGCCTATAAAAGTCCACATGAACCATAAACCCCCGTTCTTTTCCTGTCCACACTCCCTTGGATTATCTCTGTGGGATATTTCATTATTCAATTTTTTTTCCTTTTTGACACCCTCCAGAACCCCCTTAGTGATCAGGGGTGAATGCTGCAGTGACCCTTGGGTAGCAGGGAGCAACCTTGCAATGTTGGATAAATTCTTATGGGCAAGGCCGGTGCAAGGATTTTTGGCTACACAGGTGACTGTGCATTTTCCCGTCCCCCCAAAAAAGGTATCTTCACCTTACTTGCCCACCAGCCCCATTCTGTGTCATTGTACTTTAGTGTGGGGGGATAGGGGCAGAATTGTTGGGGAATAGAGGCAGTATTGTAGGGGGGATAGGGACTTTTGCGAGGGGGGAATAGGGGCAGTATTGTGATGGGGCAGAGGCCGTACTGTAGCAGATTGATTCTTTAGTATGGGGGCAGGGCCCATATTGTGGGGGATTAATTCTTTAGTGTGGGGGTATAGGGGCAGTATTATGGAGTTTGGGGCATTAGTGGTAAGGTTAGGAACAGTATTGTGAAGGAATGGGGCTTAAGTGTGGTGGGATATGGGCAATATTGTGTGGGGCAGGGGCATTTGTGCCGCCTTATGGCAGCGCCGGCCCTGCTCGTGGGTACCGTATTTCTGCTGAAGGGAACAAGTTCAAGCCTTGCTGGCAACTGAGGAGCTCCGACAGGGCTTGCCAGAGGTGAATTTTCATTTTTGACTACTCATGCAATCAAGGTAAGTAGTTCTGTGTCAGGAGGTCATCAGCAAATGTGATCTTTATTTTGGACCAAGTTCGGTCGGAATATATGTTTGAACTTCAGGTCAAATTCAGGCAATTTTGTGCTTGTTTAAATGATTCCCATGTTTTTCTATTGATTATGGTGGCAATCTGATGTTACTTTCTCCTATAGGCTATACAGTTCTCAGGTATTTGCAGATCTTTGTGCTTCTCCTTTTTTATGCATCAATGTAAATTCTACTTCTTTGGGGATTCCTTATGATTAATGTATAGCTTGTACTAAATTAATTGCACAGTTGTTGTTCTTATGTTTTTTTATATCTGGATACTAGTCCCTAATGGGCAGCCTTTTTCCAGCTGCTCAGGTATTGTACAAGTAAATTTTTTTATTCCAACACATTAACTCAGAGCTGTGCACTCTATAGTTCTGTTTTTTTTTGTTTTATATCCACATGGAGTGGACCTATACTACCCACATATCCCAGAGTGGGGATCATACCACTCTACACTATACATGTATATTCATCTATTTATTCTTCCAACACTCAACAACATAGCTCCACAAAGCGTAAGTTCACCCTTTTCTCCAGTGCATAAGACATACTACACTATTAGTTTTGGGCCTTCTACCATTCTTGTCACTTCATGTACCACAACTAAGGACAGTTAAGGTCCCACTCCACTATATTTCTATCAAGTGGAGAAGAGACACCCTGGATTTTGGTTTCTGCCTATTTAAAATATATCAGTATACTCTGAGTGTTGAACCTAACATTTTTTCTTTAAGAAACACAAAAAAAGGGGTGATTAATAGGAAAGAAATTCTATGAACTGGCTGAAAAGATGGGCATAACCCCCCAAAAATGGGATAACTAGTATAAACAAAAATGATCCAGCTCAGTCATGTATAAAACGTAACTTTTATTATTACAAATCTCTTAAACGTATGTGAAACACTTAAATCACCTCTAAAATTCAAATTTGAATCACTAAGTAACCTAGAGAATAAACTGATTCATATATTTATATTATAATGTTTTACAGGTAAGTTGTTAGAGATACATTTAGATACAGTAGAAGGAAAGGTGGGTGTGGAAACCAACAGGTAAAGTTGATTGAATAGTATGAAAGACAACTACTAATAAAGCAAAGGACTAAACAATAGTAAATAATAATTTATAATTAAAAAGAAAAGAATCAAAATAATTAATATACCAAGGTTTCTAAGCTGTGCCTTCAAGAGCACCTATGCTAAAGTCCCACCTCCTATCCCTGAGATAAACTAAACTCTGAAGTTACCACTATATGCAAATAATATCCAATGTGTAAAGAAAAATAATAAGAAAAACAATTAATAGAAAAATATAAATTGAAATTTAAAAGAAAGAACTTTGTGGGCGATCGAGTACCGATACAAAATAGTATAATTGAGCATGATCCTAGCAAAGATCACCAGACCGAAAGAGCAAAGGCAGCTACCTACAACAATATTTGGATGAGAAATGGGTTTCGAGGGGTTTCAGACCAGATATATCGTTACCTGACAACGTGAAAACAGATGAACAGTTGGGGGAGTGGAACTCCATATTATTGGATTGTTCATCCAAAATAATGTCATTTCTGGTAAAATTAGAACAAGAATTCCTAGAACACGTTAGTAGTAGGTTAGTTGTAGAAATAGAAAAAGTCAAGGAGTTAAAAAAGAATCTTCTTTTAATGCAATGGAATTGAAATTACAAAATAATCTAGACAGTTTTAGAAATAACATTAAACAAGAGAAACATTGCAAATTTCAGAGAGACAACAAAGATTTTCAGGATATAAGGATTTTTAAGCAAAAGCGATGGACCCATAGAAACACTAGAGCAGATAAAATATCCTCATCTGATGCAACAGAATGGTAGGAGCCTGAACTTGGTCAACTAATTAGATCTAGACGCGCAAAAGGATTCACAAATTCCCAACGAGGTATATTAAAAACTGGGGATAGAAATGTCTCCTTCTAGGCACCTATAAGTACGGATACCCCTAATCAATTAACAGAAGGTCTGCCAATAGAATCAACTTCTAATGTTCCTTCTACTGCATCTTCTCCATCCTTACATTTTTTAGAACAGGAGTGGCCCCGACCCTAGAGAGATCAATTATGCAACAGACAAAAGTGGGGATACAAAAAATACCAATCAAACAAATAACTTCACAATTTTCTAATGATACAAATAAGGTGATTAATCTGTCAGACTTTAACCTTCAAACCTCACACCTTATGTTGTTAAACAAAGGGCTATCATTTGTACCTACTCCCAGTGGCAACTTAATTCATTGGGCAAAATATTTGAACCTGTTTGGGAGAAAATTAGCCCTACACGCTTTTCATCAAAAGAAAAAAAAATCAAAAAAGCCAAAGAATTGGGTTTGGTGGAAGGCAATTTGGATGGTTTTCAGATACTAGTGGATCTATTGACAGAACAGGAATCCTTTCAACCTTTAACTCAACATAAATCCCTTAGCTGGTTTACTCCAAATTTAAAAGAAGTCACAAGTGTTGACTTGTTCATTAAAATGTTTATGGAAGCATAGAATCATACCTCATAGAGCATCCATATAGATCTAACTTAAAGGATCACTATAGTGTCAGGAAAACAAAGCTGGTTTCCTGACACTATAGTGCCCTGAGGGTGCCCTCATTCTCAGGGTCCCCCTCCCATGGTGCTGGAGGGGTTAAAACCCCTTCAGCAGCTTACCTTATTTCAGCGCCGGGTGACCTCTCTTCCCTCGCTGACGTCAGCTCCCGAGTGGAGCGGAATGCGAATGCACGCCAAGTGCTGCGCGTGCATTCAAGCTGGCAATAGGAAAGCATTTCGAAATTCGCATCCAGCGTTGCAGATGTGCCTCTAGCGGCTGTCAGAAAGACAGCCACTAGACTAGAGGTTGGCTTAACCCCTAATGTAAACATGTTTACATGTGAAGGGTTAAAACCTGAGGGACATTGCACCCAGACCACTTCATAGAGCTGAAGTGGTCTGGGTGACTATAGTGTCCCTTTAAGTAAAATAGAACAAAAGGCCATGTTTGAACTACAAAGTCTGCAAAATGTAATCATTAAACCCCCTGATAAGGGGGGCAATATAGTTCTGCTCAACAAACGGACATGAAGTGTTACCAACTAATTACAAAGGATTCAACATTGGATTACCTAAAAAACTGGATCTGAAAAATATAGCCCAGACTGCCTTGGATGACAATATTATTACCAAAGATGGATTTAAATTCATTATTACATTTGGAAACCCTAAAGTTGCAACTTTCTATTGCCTCCCAAAGATCCACATGGACAAACATAATCCACCTGGCAGACCCATCGTTTCAGGGAATTCAAGTTTAACAGAAAGAGCTAGTCGATATCTCGACATCCTACTATCTACTATGAACCTTAAGTACATAAACTTAAATCACATCTACGCGATACCAAGCAAACTTTATTTCTGTTGGAAAATTTGACACTGCCTTATACCTTAATTGCCAGCTTATATGTAGTTTTATTTTATAGTAACAACCCCATTCGGAGGTATTGAAGAGAGTTGCCTACTTCCTAGCAAAATCAGTATTATCTGACAATGCCATCATCCCTGGAGTCTGAAGAAAAACATTCCATATGAACAATATCTGAGAGCCAAAGGGAATTGTTCCACAGAGGAAGATTTTAAAAATGAGCCAATAAGGGCCAGGTTCCATGAATTACGGTATCCTAACCGAGTCTTTGAAAGAGTTTGCCATTGGGTACACAACATCAATAGGTCCGAAAGTCTACATAAGCCTTCCAAGTCCTCTACAAATGTCTTCACTAGGGGGAACTTTGATCGCCATTGGAATGCAGCAAAACACATTTTCAGAAGAAACTGGCCAATTCTCCAGAGTGATGACACATTGAATAAAGCTATCTTGTCCTTTCCTACAATGACCTTTAGGAGATCTAGGAATCTTAAGGAACTTTTGGTCCATAGTCACATGGAACCTCCACATTCACTTTCCACTTGGTTGTCGAATACTAAAGGCATGTTTAAATACGGGCATTGTAAAGCCTGTGAGTTTATCCACCCATCTAGTACAACAACTAGTACACAAACTAAAACAACATATATCACTGATAGCTTTGTGATTTATAGCTCAGTTAACATTGTATATGTAATGTCAATGTGGAGTTCAATAACACTTTACAACAGTGAAGAAGAATAATTTTTCAACCCATAAACTCTCTCTCTAACCCTAATGTATCAACACCAATAATTTTAAAGTCTTAACATTCCAAGCAATTCAGCAATTAAAACTCAATTTCCTAAAAGGGAATATTAATCAATTATTATTGAAGACAGAGTCAAGGTGGATCTATCATTTTAAAACCATGTCTCCCAATGGTTTAAACGAAGAGTTTAATTTTACTCCATATATGCCTTCTCAGATGCCAGCCCTCATCTCTCTGGATATCTCACCCAATGTACTTAACTCCAACAAAACTCCTTCTTTCCAAGAGGTGCTCCATGAGGCCAAATTCCTACAGCAACCTGAGGTTGCACCAATACAAATA